GACGAGAATGTTATTCGGCAATCAAAAAGATCTTGGAAATGGCCCTAGCATGGGGGGTGATTTTATTGTGATAAACTTATTGCATTGGTATTTCTAATAAAAGCTTAAAGTCAAAATATATTTCTTCAGTAATTTGCAAATGCTATTAAGGTTTTGCTGTAGGTTTTGATGGGGAAAAAGCCCATTCAAGGGAATATATTTTAATCCCCTGAACTTCCGTACAGAAAGAATTAAAACTTTAGCAATCCAAAATATTTTAAATGTCTGACTCCACCAGCTTATTGTATGATGGGTAGATGACAGTAATGACAGGTTTGAGGTTTCTGAAGAAAATAGGAACATGTCATACTTTAGAGGAATTACTTGCACCCAAAAAAAAAAAAAGAAAAACTTCAGAGGAAATTACTATAAATGATGCCATAATATTCTGCTAATATAATATGTATATATACACACTTTCTTAATCTTATATTTAAAGATTGCTATGGAAAACCTGATAGTCTTGCTCTCCATGATGACGCAGGAAGGATGGAGCCTTGCAGAGGCTTTTTGCATCCGTTGCATGGTTGCTGCTCCTTATGTTGTTCCATACAGGTGAAGAAAGATTCTCATTTTTTTTAGACAATTCCTATCTCTGTCTCCGTCTGTGTCTCTCTTCACACGCATATATATATAAATATATATATATATCTATCACACATACAAAAGAACATTTCCCTACTCCTCTAACTCAACACACCTGCAGATTGTAGTTAATCGCCCTTTTTTTTTTTTGAGCACTCTGCAGTGCACCTTCAACATTTGAATGCAAGTTCAGAAAAGAACTTCCTGAGCTATATCAGTATCTCAAGCAAGCTCCTTTTGACAAGGTAAGTTATCATTTATATGGTCGATGTAATTATTCTGATGGTTTTCTTTTGGGTACATGTTCTGCATAGTTTCAGCGGAATAAGTTTGTTGTCTTTTCTTTTCATTTAAAAATATTAAACAGGCTTGAATTTTTTTGCCTCATGTTAACCTATCAAATATTTTAATGAAGGTTTGTTGGAAGGACGTGATTCACTGGATGTGGCCCCTTTTTACTGAAACTTTTGGATCATGGAGAAGTGGAGATTTGAATCTGAGCTCTTGCCCTTTTATGGTTAGTACTTTCGAGGGTAAAATTTCTTTGATGCATTAATGGCTTCCAACTTATTTTTTCATAAAATAAAATATTGGTCGTAAAAATTAAAATCAAATGGCCTTTCTTTCTTTAACCAAATGCAGGATCCAGTAACAGATCTACCAACTTGGCATGCCATGCCGCAATCTCCTCTCCTCTTGTGAGTTGCCAATTTTTACTCTAAAATCTCATATTCTAAAAGAATACATTCACTTATTGTTGGGAAAAATTTAATTGCAATGGTATTTACATCTAATGCTGGTTCTTTCCTCTCATGCATACGACTACCAGTTATATGCTTGCCACTGCTAGGGTTCAAAGGTTTACTGTGAAGTTTAAAAATGGAGACTTGTAGTAATCTTTTGTTCCATAATATATTTTTTTTAATAGAACACATATCTAGTTCCTTAAAGGC